GGAGGGCCAATGGATGCAAACAACTCCGTTTCCCGGGGAATGCATTCAACTGCATGCACACATGGCAGCCCTCAACTCGCCAAATCTCGTGTGGCATGCAACGGAATACACGCGAATAAAATAGGGAGGAGAGGGGAGTAGTGTGGGGAGTCCAGGAGCAGAAAACAAAGCATTACCGAAAAGCGATTACCCCGAAAAACTAAACATAACACGCCAATTTATGTGCACAATTGTTTACATGACGTTGTATGGCCATTCAATGGCTCCGCCGCTGCTCAATTGTTCAATTGTTTAGGTGTGCAGTTTTCCAACTGATTGAATGTGGAGCCCGTTGGCTATATCCTAGTAATTATGGTCGGGGAGTCCAGTTTACCAGTTTTATGATAAATGCGGCTATGCTTGTGGCGTATACACGGCGTATACGTAATTCAATCAGTGTGCCATTAAAGCGAGAAAACTTTTTTCAATATTCGCTGGCATTAAGCTTCAATTTATTTCAATCAGCGAGCGCACAATGGCCGTCCGCAGAAGCCCATAAAATTGCAGTAAATTCAACAATTGTAGAGTTCAATTACCAAGTAGACCGATATGCAGATATATCCTTACTATATATATATATAGTATATACGTATTTTTTGCGTTTCAATTTCATTTTACCGCTGGCCCCTTTACAATTGACAATTTAATGGAGTCTTCCGCAGTTGCGGCTGAGACCAAGAAAAGCCATTGTCTGGGCTGTGTGTTCCCCTTGGCTTTTCACCAGGAATTTTCCCTCATTCTGCTAGTGTTAACCGCTTACTTAGGCCATTATGCTCGCTGGCCGTGGCGACATTGTATTAGGATGGCAAATTTATGGACGCGGCTTTTATGCTTTAAGGACTTTGGCCAGACTCGAGCGTTAATGGGAGCACTTGTGAATTTATGGGCATGGCCTGCGGTAAAAGATAAGGATAAACTTGACTATGACTATTTCATAGTTAGCAGCCTGAGCTTCCGCTAAGTATGTAACTCCCAGTATGGATACACTTCTCTTTTTTTTATATTTTTTTCCTTTGCTCACTTCAATTTCCTGTGTGTTGCACGTGGCGTCAGGCTGTGCTTGATTTTATGGCTTTCACACCTCGCTTACATATTTACTATACAAATTACACTTTTTATTGCATGTGATTTCGGTTCCTTTTTGCCCGGCACGTGGCAAAGGGTTCTCCATTTCATCGAGAATTAATGGTTTATTTATATGATGTGTTGAAGCCGATACAGTAGGTACAGCTCGTTCAAACTTTAGTGCTCGGCAATTGTTTTTTGCTGTTGCCTTGCATGTGCCACAAATTGGGGCTCAAATTATGTGCGTTTCGTTCTCGAGTTGCTTATAACTTGTATTGTTTTTTTTTGTTAACGGTCTGTGTTTGCGGTTAATCGAGCATTTCCATAACTATGCGCAAATTGCAAAGGAACACGAACAGTAATTCTTTGATTAGAGGCCGCGTGTTGCATGTTGCGTGTTGAAATTATGCTAATTTCCACTGCTGTTGCATTCGGTTATGCCCGACGAGTGTTTTTCTGTTTGTTAAATATGTATGACATGCAAATGGGCCGCGAAACTGACTTCAATTAACTTTGATCGATTTAACAAAATGGTTAGCATTTTCAGCTCAATTAATTTGTTTTGTTTTCTGCCTTTTTTTCGTTTCTGATTTGTCGTAATTGCCTGCGTTTTCATTCAGTTGTCAAAATTATATAATGTGATTAAGGCATTCGGCATTATCATAATGTGTAATTAAATTCGAGAACATTAAGGCCTTAGTTGGCTGGTATTGAGATTAATTTATAAATTATGCAAGCTTACTGCTGCATTTCCACAGTCCAAATGAGCTTTCTAAATATAACCAATTTTTCACTACATTGTTTTAGTTTATTTTTGAAGAGTACATGGAGTAAGGCTCATGATGGAAACAGTTTATGAATGAAATATTTTTATATTAGGTTGTCAAAAAAGTCTTGCGGTTTTGAATTTTCCAAAAAGGTATAGTATGACTTGATGCGACGAATAAAACAAGAAGTACGGGCTTTCAGCGCCAACTAGCAAAAATACCGCAAGACTTTTTTGACAGACTAATATATAGTTTTTGTATGGTTTGTATCGGAATCTATTATATGTTAATTTTTAGAGTTATCTTCTTATATAAATTCCTAAAAAGAATGTCATATATTTTCACAGAGTATATTTATTCTCGACGTTGGTAGAAATATACGGCTTTGGCTTAGCTTTTGCCAGAAGTTTTGCATAATTTCGCATATATGCCAAAGTTTCAGTTGTTAGTTTATCTGCTGATGGCGTTAGTTAGAGAAATTGTTATATCCGCTTTCCCTCTATTTTGTTTGTGCTCCTTCTACCCGCAAAACAAAAAAAAAAAAAAACCAAAATATATCCACAAAACCCAGCGACATGCATATGCAGATTCTAAAAATGAAATTAAAATAAATGGCAAATGCAAAAACAGCCAAAGAAAAAGTATTTATTTATTTGCGTTTGTGGAAACTGTGGCACGCTGCTTTATGTGTTGTCATTAGGCAAATAGTTTGCGGGCTGACTGTGAAATACGAGTGCGCTGCACAGCATGTGTTTGTGTGCTGTGGAAAACGAAGTACAAACAATTATGGCCAAAATCAGAGAATGTGACGCCAGCGATTTATCTCCCTGGTTATACATATACGAATGTATATGTATATACAGTACAGAGAGACATCAATGTTGGGTTACAATGTGTGGTGGTAGTGGTGGTGGTCTAGTATGTGTAGCTGAAAAATGCCAGCATAATTTTATTGGGGCTGGTAAATTTAATGGGTTCATTAGAGGAGAGTGTTGCCTACTTTTCGGCGACACTTCTCAGCCGCTGCCGTTGTGCTAAAATTAATGCAAAACGTGAGTTTGTTTTTAGCTCCTTCGTCTGGTCTGTGTTTTTCCTCACAGCTTTTCACCCTGCTGCTCATTATTCTTGTTGCTTGGGAAAATTTTGCTACTGTTATTATAATACTTTTATGCCATCGTTTACCCTCGCTGATGCGGCTGCTTCGGATGCTTCGGCTGTTACTGTGTTGGTGTTGACTTAGTCAAGAGCAATTAACATGCAAATAAGGCCTATTAGTTACCCAAACGTCAGCCTGTCAGCTGCTGTGTCTCTCATACCGGCCACGCCCACTAGCACCTTTTTGTGGAGCTTCTGCCACGACCATCCTTTAAGGAGCCCAGCATGACAGGATGCTGGTTGTTCTTTAACTTTTTTGTTTGCCCGGACGGGGTCGCACTTTAATGACTTACTAATTTCAAGTTTGCCATCTTCTCTGTAAAGACCAAGGGCCGAGTATCGTTAAAAATCTTAATTGCCAATTTAGCCAAGGAACATCGTAACGCTCATCGTTGGGTTTAGTGTTATGCTTTTGGGGTATCTGGTAGCCGTGAAAAACTTTTGATTTCCAACGGGTCAATCCTTTGTCTTTAATCTAATCACCTAGGGCCGACATTTTTATGAAGTTTCGCCCGTGCATTCGGCAATTAATGTTAATTGATCACTTAATTTCAAGCATTTCCATTAAAAGTTTTCTCGGTTCACGAGGGGGGCAAAAGTTAAAGTGAGAAATGGAGAGCACGAGTCAGATTCGGATTGGGAATGTGCGCGTCCGCCTTGATTTACATTCCAGGAGTCCAGGAGAGCTCGCCTCGCCTTACCTCGCCTCGCCTCGCCTCATCACCATCACACATTCGCCCCGTGTGCCGCACCCATAAAAGTTGAATTAACATGAAAAAATATTGACCCTTACACATACACACACACACATACATACACTCTCTGGCAAACACTTGCACGCATACAAACGCGGTGAGTAAAGGTCCTGCTGCAATTTATAGCTGCAGTGCCCCGGTCAGTGTGGGAAAATGTTTGAGCACACACACTCCCAGCGGCGTAAATGTTACTGGCAGCTCCTGCGAACCAATGCAATTGTGAGAGACTACACTGAGAGAAATTTGGGGTGGCCGATAATGCTACTATAAAGTTTATGTTTTGTGGCAAGAAGTCTGGCTACTTTCAGGACATTTTAGTTTAAACTAATAGTTAAAAAACTTTTCCTTTTACAAAGTGAAGTCATAAAAAACCATTTTTTGGCTCAGTGCATTTGTGTCTGGCGGGGATTTACCCTTCACAGGACACACAATGAAGGTGTGTGCTGACAACGAATGCTGTGGGTGATGATCCAGGTTGATTTATCTACTGGCGCTGAGGTTAAAAGTTTTGCGCATACTTCCATTGTTTAGGTCAGGCTTCCCTTTGTGCGGCTGAACCACAGAGCTGGCACCGGGCACTATAGTAGAACCTCCCTAGCACCACCGTGCGACAGGACCTGACTGGCCGACTGGCAGACAGGAGGTTATGCAAATGTCAGGCCCCATGCAATTATTCAACCTTTGGCCGGCGGCTCGAGTCCTATGCTGGATTGCCATAGCCTGTGATTTCTGCTTCACCAATAACGTTTATTTAATCCATGATTATTTTATTGGTTTAGCTGGAAGCACAGCACAGAAGGGCAGACAGCTCATTACTAAAGCCCCATCGCTAGATCCTAACTAATTATGGAGCTTCGGAGCTCGTTATGTATGCGGGATTTTCCTTTCTGGCTTTTTTTTTTGGGTTTTTGCCGAGCCTAAACCAACTATAGCCTGGCTAAGCCACCCTCTCCAGGGCTCAAGGACACGTCCGGAGTATCGGAAATATTTTGCTGACGTCTCACTGAAATCCATCATTTTCCCCAGCCGTCTGCGACACGTGGTCTCCGCAGCTGGCTAATAAATCTTAATCAGTCCGGACCCCAGTGGGTGGCTGCGGTCTCCGTCTAATTTGCGGTGCTCCCTCCTCCCATTGGAGGCTATAGCCATGGCTATGGCTTATCAACTTATCAACCGGCCCGCATTGATTGGCCCGCCAATCGAGTATAATCGCAAAAGCTTTTCAATGCTGATAAATTTATTTATATGCTGGCCTAAAGCTTAGACTACGGCCCCTGCCCATTTAGGTTGAGCTTCTCGTGGCTTTTTCGGTCTAGAAGATGGATCCGATGTCGTGGAGCAGCTGATCGAACCAGTTGCCCTTGGTGGTGGTTTTGTCGTCGACGGTGGTGGTGTTCCAGACGGCAGTGGTGCTGTTCCACCAGGGTGAGGCGGTGGTGTTCGAGTTCCAGGGTCCCTGTGTCGAGTTTCCAATCCACGGACTTTGAGTGGAGTTGCTGTTGGGGCCAATGGTGGTGCTGTTCCAGCTGGGCGTGGTGCTGTTCAGCAACGGACCTTCGGTGGTGTTATTTCCCCAAGGACCTTGAGTTGAATTATTTCCCCACCATGGACCTTGGGTGGTGTTCAGGTTTGGTCCCTGTGTAGAATTTCCCCACCATGGACCTTGGGTTCGGTTTCCTCCTGAGGGGCCCTGGGTAGAATTGTTTCCCCACCATGGACCCTCAGTAGTGCTGTTTCCCCATGGGCCTTGGGTGGAGTTGTTTCCCCATGGACCTTGGGTAGAGTTGTTTCCCCCCCATGGACCCTCAGTAGTGCTGTTTCCCCATGGACCTTGAGTCGTGTTGTTTCCCCATGGACCTTGAGTCGAGTTGTTTCCCCATGGGCCTTGGGTAGAGTTGTTTCCCCACCATGGACCCTCAGTAGTGCTGTTTCCCCATGGACCTTGAGTCGTGTTGTTTCCCCATGGACCTTGGGTAGAGTTGTTTCCCCCATGGACCTTCAGTAGTGCTGTTTCCCCATGGACCTTGAGTCGTGTTGTTTCCCCATGGGCCTTGGGTAGAGTTGTTTCCCCATGGGCCTTGGGTAGAGTTGTTTCCCCACCATGGACCCTCAGTAGTGCTGTTTCCCCATGGACCTTGAGTCGTGTTGTTTCCCCATGGACCTTGAGTCGAGTTGTTTCCCCATGGACCTTGAGTAGAGTTGTTTCCCCACCATGGACCCTCAGTAGTGCTGTTTCCCCATGGACCTTGAGTCGTGTTGTTTCCCCATGGACCTTGGGTAGAGTTGTTTCCCCCATGGACCTTCAGTAGTGCTGTTTCCCCATGGACCTTGAGTCGTGTTGTTTCCCCATGGGCCTTGGGTAGAGTTGTTTCCCCCCATGGACCTTCAGTAGTGCTGTTTCCCCATGGACCTTGAGTCGAGTTGTTTCCCCATTGACCTTGAGTAGAGTTGTTTCCCCACCATGGACCCTCAGTAGTGCTGTTTCCCCATGGACCTTGAGTCGTGTTGTTTCCCCATGGACCTTGAGTCGAGTTGTTTCCCCATGGGCCTTGGGTAGAGTTGTTTCCCCACCATGGACCTTCAGTAGTGCTGTTTCCCCATGGGCCTTGAGTCGAGTTGTTTCCCCATGGACCTTGAGTCGAGTTGTTTCCCCATGGGCCTTGGGTAGAGTTGTTTCCCCACCATGGACCCTCAGTAGTGCTGTTTCCCCATGGACCTTGAGTCGAGTTGTTTCCCCATGGGCCTTGGGTAGAGTTGTTTCCCCATGGGCCTTGGGTAGAGTTGTTTCCCCACCATGGACCTTCAGTAGTGCTGTTTCCCCATGGACCTTGGGTGGAGTTGTTTCCCCAAGGACCTTGAGTCGAGTTGTTTCCCCACCATGGACCTTCAGTAGTGTTTAGGTTAGGTGGCAAGGTTGAGAGGGTAAAGTTCGGGGTGGTGTTGGTATTGGGCCAATTGGTGGTGTTCCAGCTAGGTCCGCCGGCGGTGGTGTTCTGTGGCGGTGGTGCCACGGTGCTGTTCTGTGGCGGTTGTGGTTGGGGCTGAGCCTCGGCGAGGCAGTTGGCCAGGGAGATGGAAGCAGCATCAAGCTTAACAAATGCCTTTGTAAGCTCACGGAAAACGCAGGCCTTGCGACGGCGATGATCGTAGCGGTTCGAACGCACCGAGCTGAACAGATTCAGGACCTGTATGATGAAGTATCCACAGATGTAGTCGTATAAGAAGGTCAATTCCAGTTAAGAACTTACGGTATCCGCGTAACATTCGCGGGCGTCGTATTGGCGGCGGGAGCAGCTAATCAACTCCCTTTCGAAGTGGTGCTTCGTGTAGATGGCATCCTCTCGTTCCAAATATCTCTCGATATCCTTAGCGGCCACATTGTTACAACGTTGAATTTTGTAACCAGCCGTCAACAGAATCACAATGTTATCCACAGTGTAAAGGGCAGTGCACTCCTCAAAGTCGATGAGCTCATCAGCCTGAGGCTCCTGAAGCTTTCCAGTGACAGCATCGAAGAACAGAGACTGCCAAGTTAGCTCCTTGGAGCTCTTGGCTGGTTCAACAGCCGCGAACGCCTGAGGGATTCATTTATGGATTATATAAGCTGCTTCTCTAGACTACCGCCACTCAACCAACTCTCTCGAGAGGATTGCCATTCTCACCTGAGCGCCGACTAGCAGCAAGCACACCGTTAATATTTTGCAGAGAACCTCCATCTTGGCGGTTCAGGTCGTTTCTGAGTTGGTTTCGCTGGCAGGTGACCATTTTAAAGCCATTTTATTATTTTGTTTTTATTCTGCCTTCATTAATTGCATTTATCTATAATTGTTTGGAGTCCCAACCACAATCAGTGAACTGACGGCCAGGTGATAAGCAGTAAGCATTCTAATTGATGATAACAATGAGTGCGAGTACGGAACTGTGTGTGAAGAGGCAGGAAGTCTGACGATTGAGGGGTGAGTAATACATTTAAAGGGTTTGGGAAACTCCACTGATTTATGTTTGTTGAGGGATGGATAGGCTATTTTTTATTTTTTTATGACTAATGTCAGGAAAAAACCTAGGAGTTCTGTTCAATAAACTGATAATGTAAAATTATACAATTAATACCGGGCCTAATGTGCCTTAACTGACAAAAATACGTCAGATAATATGGTACGTTATCTGATTCATATTCGGTAGGCTGTTCTTTGTTCTCATTGAACTGGAAAGTTAAAGTAAACTCATAGGGAAAACTTATTTCTTTGCATTTAAACTGTTTATTGTTTCTTAATTTCCTTTTAACTTAGTTAGTTAAACCCTGATCCTGGAACTGCTGCTGAGGCCACTCAAGAACTGGCTCCTTGGGCACCTCTGCGGGCCTCACTGGCTGCTGCTGTTCGACCTTCTGTTGGGGAATCTCCCGCTGGGCAGCGATCTTGTCCAAGCAGGTATTGAAGTCATTGGCTGCCTGGATAGACTGAACCTTGGCCTCGCTAACGGCAGCGCCAATGCAGCTGGTCTTTTCAGCAGCCACCTGGGTGGAGTTGTTCGAGAACTGAGACTGAGTCTGGTAGGCCTGAGAGTTGGAGGTGTCCAAAAGCTGCAGGTTCTTGTCAAACTAATGGGAAATGCTTATTAGCTTTTCAGTTTAATAAGTAACTAAGTGAGCCTACTTACAGTGGAAACAGTGCAGTTCAGGAAAAGGGCTGCATCCGTCTCGTTGCGGCACAGTTGGAGGTTCTGCTCCAAGGTCAATAGCTGGAGGCGGATCTGGTTGATGGTGGTGTTGCTGGTCTGGGTGTAGGACACCTTGGTGCGGTTGGCTGCCTCTTCGCAGGCATTGGTGGCATTGGCCAACTTATCGCCATTCTTCTGGGTGGTGTTCAAGTAGTTGTTGGCACAGGTCTGGGCAGCGGGAGTCAGGGCTCGTCCCTCAGCCTCACCAACGACCATGCGGAAAAGGACCTGCTCGAGACCCACATCCTCAGTGAAACGAGGCACAGCGCTGACCTGGGATTGGTGAGAAATGTTTGATTAGTTTTTTAATACTATAAAGAAGCGGTTTACTTCAAAGGTTTTTATAAATATTGTAAGCGATACAAAGTTGTTTACTTTAAGTTTTTGAAAAACATTTCTTATCTTTCCATTGTAAGTTTATATAGATATATATTCTTATAAGTAAGAAGTCTACAACTTGATAGCAGCTGCCACACGCAAGAAAAATACATTTGATAAAACCAATTCAAGTATTTGCTATAAGAACTTGATGATAATAAAAACTTATAGAAAAATATAGCTCAAACTGAGATATATGACGCGTAACTGAGTACTTCCCCCTGATTCTGATACTATCTCGATTCATATTTTCATTACAATCCAACGACTCTTAAGTCTAATAACTCACGCTGAACAGGGTCACAGCCAAAAGGATAACTCGAGTGAAGAGCTGCATCTTAGAAACTTGAATTACTTTGAATCTACTGAATCTGCCAAGTTACAGTGCCTTTTATAGCTCAGCTTCTGGTTGAGAAGATCTTTCATGGCCTTAAATTAACCACTAATTGGCAATGCACTATGATTAGATAAAAGTCAAACAAGAAGACATGTCAAATGTTCATCTAATTGGCTTCTTGCAGGGCTAAGACTCATATCCAAAGAGCTAAGATAGTTGGTTGCCAGGTTAAATGGCACTCCAATCAGGGGACTTGTCACCTGATAAGCCCGCGTACCCCACCTTGGTGTCTGTAAGTCTGTCTGCCCCGGTGCCTTATCAATAATGCTTATGATATAAGAATTTATTTCGGCTGTTGAATCATGACAATCTTAGCAAACTGGTAGCTCTTTAGGGAGTCAGTGATTATGGCGATCACTTTAAAGAGCCACTTCAGCTGGGATTTTAATCTACCGATTACATGTCCATAAATCAGTGGAATCTCGTTTGCCTATTCTAAGAACTCCCAGCCAGTTCCCAGAACTGATAGGGCCCAAGCTGATATAGTTTGTGCTAAGGTCATTGAATATAGAAAAACCCAAACAATTTCCATGAATTCGGTTATCTACCAATGCGGCAAACCACATTTGTATATCAAACTAACAGTGGGTGGCGACAATTGAAAAAAAAAGAATTGAAATAAAAATAACAAACGTTTGGCTGAAAAATTTTGTGTCATATAATTAGCCGGGCACGCACTCAAGTCATGACCGCCCCTACTTGGCTTCATTTTTCATGCCAAGAATCGTTTAAGAAATGTATTTGAGGGGGTTGAACTGTTCTGGAGGATGGAGTTTTCCAGTGGACTGGCTGCCAAAAGAATCAGCCGCGTATTTATCAAAAACACACACAGCCCTGGGGGGGAAGGTAAAAAGGAGACCCCGGCTCCATGTGTGGGGTTCACATACATCTTGCGATAGACCAAACAAGATTTATAAGCTGAGACATTGTTCCAAGCACCTTCGTGGAAAAGTCGTCGCAACTCAAACGATTTATCAAAAGCATAAAGTGCAGTCAGGGCGTTTGTTGAGCCAACTTCTGGTGGTACTGCACTGAAAACTAAACTATTTACATTCTTAGCTTCTCAAACTTAAGTCTCTATATTTGTTTCCACCTAAAAAATTGAAGAGATATAATCAGTTTCTAAGAATCCATTCCTAATCAAAGTATGGTTGCGTTTATTAGATATTTTAACAGCGGAAAAAGCAATCAATCTTACAATAAGCTTAACAATATCTATAAATATCGAAAGTAAAGAACATTTGTACTGCTTGTATTTGAAAAAGTGCAGAAATAAGTTAAAATTTACGACCTTAAAGCTTTCATTTGTGTATTTTCACATTTCCCCAGAGCTTACACAGAGATTTTTCCAAGTGCCATTGCCTGCCAGTCGCATCTGCTCCAGTGGAACTTCCCGGGAGGAAGATTTAACGGGCGACAAGTGCTAATTTGAATGTGGGCAGCCGTTTTATTTGTCCTGACAGTCACCGAGGTAAGCCACAAGTCATGGTTCCTTTTCGCCCTCGGTATCAGATTGGGTTGTCGCTGCCGGTGTCATATCATTTCATTTCATTTAATTTCTGCCTGATATCTCACACTCCTTTGTGGTGGATGGGATACTTGTTCCCTCAGAGAGATCCTATGGAGTGGTAAGTCATGTAATGCGCTTGAAGTGGCTTTACAATGCGGCTTCTGATTCTGATTCTGTTTCTGTTTGCGCTGCTTCTGTTTCGGCGGTACTCTGTTGAGAACTCGAGTAGCTGTTAAGCACTTTCATTACACAGGCCCGAAAAGAGCAATGATTTATGCGAGTTATGAGAGGAAACAGCTCGAGTGTCGTTTTAAATACGAGTACGGGCCTTTTTGGTCCTCCATATCCACATCAACATCCATAGTTACATCCTCAGCCACATCCACATCCATATCCACCTTCATCTTCATCTCTCCAGCTGCGCGCATTTGTTGACTGGCGTCATTAAAAATGGAATGCTGCGTACAGTGCACGACAGGCTGGTAAGGATGGATATTGTTGCGCATTGTTTACGGCCCTTGTTGTTGTTGTTGTTGTTAATGCTTACAGCCTTTGCCGCTGTCATATCCTTTGTTTACTGCAGCTCGACTGGCAAATAAATGCGGGGTCTAGACAGTCACGCACAATGGCAGTTTTAATTTTAAGAGTGCATCCGGAAAATGAGCATAGGACCGGATACCAGCAGAAGGTACGTAAAGCCCTTCAAAAGAGGCCTTGTATTTTACAGATATTAAAGGATTAAATATGAATTTATGGTCTTAAAGTTTGGCTAAAGAAAAGTGTGACATATTTAAGAGAGAAATATATAAAGAAGACTTATTTTAAAATTTAATAAAATACAACAATTAACCTTTTTCGGCTTATACATTCAGACAATGAATATAAATTGTGGGTTGACGAACTAAATTTACTTTTATTTGTTTTCTTTGCACAGATAAATAAAATTAAGGTCAACCAATTACAAAGCAATAAAAAGCACGTTCGATCGATTAGGCAATCAATTTAGCAGCAAATATTTTCAAATACAAATAGAGACTATTAAAAATGGCAAATTATTTGAAAAGAGAAAGGAAAGAATTTTAGTCAGGCAGCAGCAATTATTATTTTGGTTGATAAACAAGCTGTGACTATACAAGTTTGAAATTCTCAAAAAAGAATATAAAATCTATGATAAGTAACTCTTTCGAGGAATTTATAAAAACAGTGAGTAAGCAACGATAAATGTGTTGCTAAATCATGGGTACTTACCCTGTTTTATCTTTTCGAGTCTTGACTAACGAGTCTCTATAACGTAAGTGAGATTTTTGCAATCGAATGAATCAATTTTGAATGGCTTTCTTTCCGCTTAACTTAACAAGCTTTTCCACATTCCCAACATTCACTTCACAGGCTGAGATCAATTAATATGCACTTCATTTAAATATATACTTTTTTCTGAGTTCCACTTCAGCTTTAAAGAGCCCTCTCCGTGTTGATAGTTGGCCGTGTTTTCCCCTCAAAGGTAAATGCGTAATAAGTTTTTTATGCAAATTCGCCAGGGAAAACTTTCCCCTGTCAACACTTTATTCCATTGTAAATTATTTGCATTCATTTATTTTTAGTTTGCATTTTTTCATGCATTATTATAATCATTTTTTTTTATACTTTATTTTTGAAGCGCCATTCGAGAACATTAAAAATGTGTAACATGTAGCTGAGTTCTTGTTGTTTGCTGAACACGGAAATTTTTTTGTTGTGTTCTCTAAATGTTAATTCAATGCAACATTTTCGTGTTGCTCCGCATTTGCTGGCATGTTTTTAAATAAATACTAACCAAAAAAAAGCAAGTCAAGGATAGTGGGGTAGAGGAGGGAAAAGCACACCCGCTGCGCCATATGTGTGGAAAAGTCGGAGTAGGAAAATTGTGAGAGGGACGGCGCTCTGCGGGTAACTTTTGTTCGGGGGCCTTGATTTCTGTGACAATATTTGTGCGGTCTAATGGCAAAATGGCATTTGAATTTTAGTCCAATGCTTATTGAGATTTAATCTGATTGTGAATGTGATTTACATTTTCTAAAGAGTGTGGGCCAGCGGCGGCGGCGGCGGAGTCGGTAGGTTCCCGAAATTTGCATTTCAAAGCGAGAGAGAGAGTGAAAACGAGTGGGAGGCGAACGGAGATGTTGGGCGGAAGTTTTTATGCGAGGACTCATGAAATTTATTAACGCTTTCATTGCACGCCGGGGAATTGTCGAGCGGTGCCGAGCGAGACGGCTGAGGGCGAGCGAGCGAGAGAGCCGTAACATTTCCTTTGTGTGTCGTAGATTTACTGGTTGGTCCCGGGGTTTTCCAGTTGATTTTACTGGTGGATATTACGTTTTAGTGCTGGGCTCTGCCTTTGTTACAGCTTAGAAGTGCCTCAAAGTTATCCAAATGCAAACTTTAATCAAGTTAAATGGTGCGCACGGGGCAGGTGATGGTGTTGCAGGCGGTGCAGGTGGGTGGTTGGTCCAGCTCTTGCTGGTAGTTCCATATTCACCACTGCCATCGTTCGGGTTTGGGATAGCCAATGGCAATTAAAGTGCATTAACCACATGATGCGTTTTGCACTTAAAACCACTCCCAACCACTCTCATATGGCCTGCACGACCTGTATAGGTCACTGCATCTGTTGCAACTGCAGTTGCATTTTCACCTGCAACAGTTGCATTTGCTACGCTGGACCTCCATGCACACGCATCCACATCCGTTTCCGGTTCCGGCAGCAGCCAAGCCACGAATCGGAAGCGACTGTTGCCGCTTTTGTTGCCATGGCACGGGGAGAAAAGTTTGGTATGCTTTTGGCTTAATTAAGTGGGGAAAATGGCAATAGTCTGCTATTTTTAGTTTACATTTTCTGCAGATTCTGCAGTATTTGTTGGTAAGTAAAGAGCTTTATGTTTTCTTATATGATTGTATAATATATCACCTGAAAAGAGACGTTCATTTCAGTAACATCACATCATCTTTTCCTCAGTGTTGAACAGAAAAACAGAAGAGTGGGAATCACCAGACCAGCGAACAGCAGCAACATGTGCATTCTAATAAAAACTAATTAGGACTCTTCATTTCCCTCTCCCCTAACCCCTTGTTTCTATTATCCCAGCGCCACCAACGGTGGTCAGCAAACTGTTGCTGATGTCGCCTGACATCAAAGTTCTATTTTAGTTTATGTTACGAGTGGAAACGTACATATCGTTTCCCACAACCTGCAACATACGCAGGCACATTCCGGACCCGGGGCTTTCATTTCTGATTGTGACAGGGCAAGGACTCCTTTCTCACAGCCCCAACGCTTTTCACCCTCGCTGGAGCCTAAACGTTCCCTCGACTGACACGAGGAATTTAATTTCATTTTGCCAAAGACAAATACAAAGGCAGACGTCAAGTTATTAGCAATATAAACACACATGTGCCAACAGTTTACTTTCCCCCTCCAAAAAGCGGGCCCTGCGTTGTGGGCGTGTTCGTACC